TATGACGCAGTGGGTGCTCATAGCTGTAAAGTTGCACAAGAAGCGTGAGTCTAAGCGTCCCCTCCCCCTCTCTGTGTTTGACACCAGGTGATGAGATGGTGTCAAAGGTGGAGCTGCATGTTGGCAGCTGAGAACACAACGCTAACGTGCGTCTCTCTCGGTCTAAACTGAAGCGTTAGCCGGCGTTTATGCCTTTTGCAGCGCAGGTGGATATATATACGATCGCTCCCTCCACGAGGGCCACATTACCGCCAAACGTTAATGCTCCATGACATTCAGTCACTTTAGCACAATAATTAATCAAAATAAACATACAGCTCTTGACAATGAGGCTTTTCTATTCGGCACTAATCAGACAACTCATTAGGCAGTAATGAGCCGACTCTGCCTGCTCTTGTCGTGTTTGGGGGAAGTTTGGCGCATGGGGAGAAGTGTGTGTGTGTGTGTGTGTGTGTGTGTCTGTGCGTGTGTGCACATAGACACATAGGTACACATGCAGCCACTGATACACACACAGCAGCCGGCACTCCTGTAGTCCCACTCCAATTATGGCAGCATCTCACCCGGGAAGAAGCCCACTTACCCGGTATTCACTTTATGAATAATTGATTGTTTGTGCCAGTGTTATATTTGTAAATACACGTTTGCTCTCTGATTAATAGTTTTCTAGACATACTCATTTGTTCAATTTGATTAGACGCTTAAATGTATTATTTATTAGCTGAAAATGCACTCGGGTTGTTAGTCAGAACAAGGGCAACAAGAAGATGTGGCACCAGTGGGCATCTGCACGCAAACAGCCGCGCTCGCTCGTCACACGGCGGGCGGCGTTGGAATTTGAATTCATGTTTAAATTTTGAATAATGCACTGAAAAGATTCAAACTTGACCAGTAAGTCCTGTCTAAATCTCCGATTTATTTTAGTTGTTAGACCACATATGTTTTTAAGTGCCACGGTTTTATTGTTCTCTAATTAGATTGAGAATACTATTTTATTTGCTTAAGAGCTGCTGAGGCCGTAGTTCGGCATTCCGTGTCTAAATGATCCAAAATACAATGCTCCCAAATTCTCCACGTTTCAACTCATCCAACTGCGAAAGATCAGCTTGTCCCCTTGATGTGTTTTTCCATCAGTGGATGGCAGAATATGCGAGCTTTAGCGGGTTTCCTTTTATTGCCTCCAGGGAATGCAGCAGCTTGCGATCAGAGAGGATAGAAAAAGAACCACGTTTCAGATCATAACTGTGAGTGTGCGCAGTCGACATAAAGGATTCCTCTTCATTCTCTACAAGTGCACTAAATACGCACATCAACCATTTTCCCAGCATGCAGTCTGTTTTTAGTACAGTTGGTTTCTGTTGTTGTTACCAGCATGGCCAGTGATCTTATAAGTGAGGGAGAATTAAAAACCTCTTTAACAGCACACATAAAAACACCACTGGGAACCAGATCAGGAAAATCTGATGGCTTCAATCTGTGACATCATTTTCATAATGGATGTAAGAGAGCGATCGGCTAACAAACCTCATCATTTTTTAGCTGCGTCCGAATGCTCCATCAATGATTTGCGAGACCGTGATTATGTTTTATTTCCGTTTGTTATGACTGCTGAAGATGGTGACAAAAGCTGGTACACAACTCCATCCGCGAGACGCAATAGTCACGACGTTACCATGGAGACAGATGTACATCTCTGTACAGCAGGCTTTTGTACTTACATAGAAGGAGAATTATCAACATTTATCAAAAGAAGATAAATGGAATCCAGCCATAGTTCATGCTGGTTACATCTGACTCAAAACAGGGCCTTTTAATGACACATTTGTTGACTGTGACTGTAGACATCCCACGTACAGCTACAGCAGGTGCTTTAAGTTAATCTGCTTCATTGGAGGTCTTGGTTGGTTGGGTGTGGGTGTCGATGCTCAGCTTGAGTGGCATCTTCTTGACCCTCCCACTATCTCTGCTGCAGCTGTCGGGGCCGTGAAGCATTTAAAAACAAGAGTGTTCAAATGTTAAAATGTCTTTCCTTCACCGAACACAGACTTTCTTAATGGCCTCGTTAAATGTACCAGCCCTCTAACAATACAAAACCCGATTGATTTAAACTGGATAAAAAAATAAATAAAACATGCTGTTACGTGTCCAAACCCTTAGTTCGCTGAGCAAGATGTGAAACATGCCGCCTCTACACGCTGGACCCCCCCGCTGTGCCGTGCACTTAGTTTTAGCACCTTGTCAGCTGCTCGCTGTGCAGCGGCTCACGCTCATTCTTCCTCGGCAGGCCATTACATTAGCAAAACAAAATGTCACCAATCACTTCCGACGACGACAACGGGCGGTGGACTCGACCTTTTGCCGATCGCTGAAACATTGGTCCAATCAACCAACGCCCCATCCCACAAGGTGACCTCAATAACGTGCTTAGCTCCTCCCAACTTCTACCAGGCCTTCGGAAACAAGTGTGCAGGGACATTAATGGAAAACTGGGCAAGTGTTTCCTTAATACCAAATCAGGCAACTGCAGTCAGCAAGATTGTGGCTGATTTGACTGTTACGGCGCGCACACAGCCGACTGTTGAAGCCCTGCAAACCTGTTGCAAAGAGGTTGTGGACGAATGCCCAGCAGCACAGTGGGGAGGGGTTTGTGTGTGTGTGTGTGTGTGTGTGTGTGTGGGGGGGGCGGGGGGGGGGGTTTAGTTATAAAAGTGACAGACATTGTGAATCATTAGTGTGTGTGCGCGTCGTGCCGGTGTGTGTTGCTGTGCTGCTCGGGAGTCCTAGCAGGCCAACTTAAGAGAGGAGGAGAGGCAGGACCCCTCTGCACCATATGCCAGATATGAGCCTGCCTGCCAAGTTGTTGGGGATGCTGGCGAGTGCTAGCGAGGCTGAATTCTTAACAGAGGGAGATGAATAATTGAACATGTGTGGAGCGAAGTTCTGTTGGGATAGATTGGGGTGGCTTTATACACCGAGAGGGGGACTGGAGACGAGCAAGACGCTTATTTAGACAGTGACGTGCTCTTAGTAAATAAGTCCTGGGGATTTAAAGATGAACCAGAATGGATTTATACACAGGCATATAGGCATCTTTGCATTTTGGTGTTAACAGCTATACCCAAAGAGGCCAAAAGCTTCCATTTAGCTTAGAAGTTTACACAGAAACCGGAGAGAATCGATGTAAATTCAGAAAAATGAGAAACGTTTGAAGAAAGATCTGTGAAACTTAATCAATTGACTGGAGGCAACTTTTCAAACGGGGTATGTGTTTATATTCAAGTTGTAATAATCAAGCAGACACTTCAATCGCAAATACAGCAGATAACCTTTACAGGCTTTTATACTTCTGAGACCTTTAAACTCCTGAGAGCAGATAGTGCTAATTAAGGAAGTAACTAGAGAATGTATTATTTATCCAAAGGGGTATATGTTAATGTAAGCAAACCAGGGCCAAAAGCTAACGAAGACATATTTTTTTGCACGGCACCATTTAACAAAGCTGTTGTGTGGGGAAACTATTCATGACAGCTTTCAAGTGGTGATTACGTGTGGGTTATGAGGCATTTTCCCACTTGCTGCAGGTTCCCATTTGAGTTAATGTCGTCCTCTGAGGAGGTGTGCAATCATTCAGCAAACCCACTAAACGTCTTCCTGACGGCACCGCGTAGAATCATCACTGCGCTTCGATTAAGACTAAAACGGGTCCAAGAGTCCTGCGCGGCTGCTCGCTGCTCGTTGGTGACGTCAGCGTGCAGGTACATTCACTCACGCCGACCATGTTGACACAATGGCGTTTAGCAGGTTCAAGGTTTACCTCGTAAGCCACGTCTTAGCATGCTAACATTGGCTAATTAGCAACGGTGGTGCTGCTGGGAAATATATTGGTATTACTAAAGATACAACTATTGATCTCGTGGTATTTTACTCAAAGCCACATTGATGCAGCTTGATGTTGGCCTGGTCTGTAGAGTTTAGGCTTGTCGGATTGTCATCGAAGCGGTTATCGACGATGTCTTTTCCAAAGCAGATATCAATGCTATTTTAATTGAATTACCATCAAAAGCTACATGTTCGGAAAGTGATCTGAAGCATCGAAGCTTTAAGTGTGCGTTTAGAGTTTGTCTTTGTGGAGCGGCATGTCCGCCTGCGGAGCCCAGTTCTTACACACTAGTCACAGTTCATCTTCTGCGCATCATGGATGTGTGTATTTTGAACCGGGCCTCTAGGTGGCCTGGAACTGCGACTATTAAAGCTAAACATGTCTTTTACAAACTTTTGTCGGAGAGAAATATTCATGGTTTGCTGCTATTCATGATGCCCAAAAACCAACATTGATCTGAGTGGGTGTTTTTCAAAGTCGCAGTTATCTTCAAGGCCATCTAGATGAACGCTGTGACCAATAAATGCAAAAAAGTGAGCCATGGAAATTGCCTCTGATCACATCTGACTGAGCAACTCTGCTGAAGGACACAAGAAGGACGGGCAGCAAGGAGAGCGACGGCGGGCTCCTCGGCGGCGGGCTCTCTCCTCTTTCCGTCACCCCGCAGCGGGGCCCGTGACCTGAATAAAGGCCGCCCGGGACGATGCACATAAGTGCGTGCAAAACGCACACACGCAACACCCCGCAAGTCTTGTGTTTCATTGAGTGAGCACGAGAGCGACGAAGACATCACACGAAGGGTTTGAAGATAATGATGAATCCCACTGCTGGCGGCAATGACACCGAGTGCAACAGAGAAAACAAGCTGTAGCCTGGTTAAGTGGCGCTGCCTGGATAATAGACAGAGACAAATGTGAGCGACTACGCGGTGGCGACAGCAGGTTTTCTCCGATGGTAGCCGCACGTTTTGTGGCTATTGCCTGCGACAACCCAATGATCCTCAGAAGTTGATCTGTTTTTGTCTCCTCGGCTTTGACTTTTATCGCAGCACGTAAAGTTCTAACCGCCGTGCTCCCTCCTCTCCCCTTTCCCTCTTGTCTCCTTCTCTCCTCTCTGACAGATACCACCCTGTCCAGTGAACGTGGTAAGTACGGCCGCCGCTAACCCCCCCCCCCGATCTCGAGCCACCTGTGCCGGGACCGGTCCTACGGCGGATTGGCTGTTTGCTTTCATGCGGAAGGGACCATTTTCAGATGGTAGTTTCAGTGGGGGGGGGAAATGTCGAGCCATGAACATCATTTCACCAGGAAGCTATTTTCCTCTCCGTCACGTTGCGTGTTTTCGACAAATGCTGAAACGGGGAGGAAAACATGGAAGCGAAGGCAATAATGAAAGCAGCATCCACAGACCCATGTGGCCAATCACTTCAATTTGAATTCAGCATATTTTCCCTGCACACGATTTGCATCAACCTACTTAGTCAATTTACCCCCTTTTGACTCTGATAGTACTCGATAAGGAGCCAACGTGGTAGGCTATATATTTTCTCTCCTTCTCATTCCGGCGTTAGTGGGACGCACCCCCGCGCAGGTTAAACAGGTGACACGTTTCTGTGTGCTTACACGTTCCCCGCTGTGCACGCCGTCATCCGACTTCCAGCATGGCACCGAGTCAAGGAGTGATCCCGCTCAACTGGCTCTCTGCTCCAAGTGGGTTGATGCTGCAGGGTCGGCGTTATGGAGCTAAATTGGTGTGGTGGCATCACACGGTGGAGACCAAACCCCACACGCTGTGTGTCTGCGCGTCGAAACCTCAAAAGTGGCGAGAGTGGTGGTTCAGATCAAGCACTTGAGGTCTACACGTGTGTGTGTGTGTGTGTGTGTGTGTGTGTGTGTGTGTGTGTGTGTGTGTGTGTGTGTGTGTGTGTGTGTGTGTGTGTGTGTGTGTGTGTGTGTGTGTGTGTGTGTGTGTTCGGTTAAGCCCTGTTCGCTGGCGGAGAAGACAGTGATCCACGGCACAGAGAAGCTTGTGTGATCCATTTTTCATTGCCGAGCTTCCAGACAGAATAGCACTTTTTTTTTTTTTTTTTTTTTATACTATTGCAAAATTTTGAACAAAGCGACAGGAATAAAAGTCACAAAAGGTGAGGATTTGTATTCATGCGGAGGTTTATCCTTGATTTTGACCTCATCTCTGCCTTTCTTAACCGCTCCCACATTAAAACACACGCATGAGTTCTCTCTCCTCCCACACCTCCTTTTCCTGGTCTGTGCTGCGCCGCTAAGCAGCCACGAAACGTGAATGATGCTCGGCAATGAAAGGCAGAAAAAGAAGAGTGACGTAATAATTCAAAGGCAGGTGAGGGAGCGGGAGGAGGCGGTGTCAGGGCAAGGTCTGCGCGCCCTTGGTCCCTCGATGGAACGCAGCCAGCCAGCCGACTGCTCGTCACTCACCACGGCGCGCGTCATACGTGTGCGTTGGTGAATAACAGAAACGTAAAGTAGCCGCGGCGGGGAAGAAACTGTCTAGGCTACGAAACGCAGCTTCCTTCTCCTCTCTTCGTGTCCTCGACAAGCTCTTCTCTGCCCCATCTGCGGCGATGGGGTGTGTTTGAAATCCTCCTCCATGTGAAGTGGCTGCCGGCGCATCCTCTCAGAGCTTAATTGGCTCTACCTGAGGAGGGCAAGGTGTAATTGCGATAAGAGAAAACGCTGTGCTCGGCTGGTTTTAGGGCCCTTATCTATAGTCTTCGGATTGATTATGGTTTTTCTGCCAGCCGTGCAAATTGTTCAACCCCGTCAAATGCGCTGGAAGCCACGTTAACTCTGTCTTGGCCAAACTATAAAGCAAACGGAGCGTGTATTGCTGATTAAGCTACAATATTCTGACCATTCGCTTTAAGCTCTGATCTCTACTGGTGTTTAAATTGCTTTCGTTCTTATTTCAATTGGGGCAACAGGGAGATATTTAAGACAGTCATATTGTTTTCTGTCTGCTGTTTCACACGTGTGTTTTATGGTCAAATTAACTATTCTGCAGGTACTTTTATCTTAGAAAGATCATTTCTGAAATCCAAAAATCCAGCCAAAATATATGTAAGCAATAGTTAGGGAATACTGCTTTATGCTTCACTACAAAGATTACGATTAATGGGTTTATACCGCTCTCCTGTCTGTACGTTAACTTTGCAGCTTGATGCAGCAGACGCTTAGCTTAGCTTAGTTTAGCATAGCTGGAAAAACAATCTAGCCAGGCTCTGTCCAACAGTAACAAAATCAATATACCTCCACCTCTTAATGAATGAATCCTTATAGCCCTGCCGAGAACAAGGAGAAGCACATTAACCGCTGGTTAAACCGGCTTCTTGTTTTTAAGCTTCGCTTTTTTCCTACAGATCAAGAAAAGAACATAATAATGTGTTGATTGATGATCGTGTGCTGGTTACCAAAGTAACTGTACAACAGAAGCAGGCCAGCTGTTTCCCCTTCCATGCCTTAAACACATCTAAGCTAACTTGACAGGAAATCCAATTACTCTATTTACCAAAATGCATGAGTTATATTTTCACATCCACATGTAAAATTAATACTTGTGCACCAGTTTACACTTGCAGGGAAATGTATTCACGTCACTTGTTTAAGCTTGTCTGTGATTGTCTGTGATGCCCCCCTCCCTTGCTCTCTTTGCTGGTTTTGAGTCGCGGTTAGGCCTAACAGAGCAGCTAATGGGCTGTGAAATGTCTCCAAAGCTGGGGCAACACAAAGCGTTAATGTCCAAAGCCCTGCTGGACCAAGGAGAGCGGCAAAACCCCCCCCGGCAAGCCCCGCAAAACAGGCGAAAAGGGAGTGGGGGCGTCACTCCTTTCCGCTGGTGTGTCACAAAGGCCATTTCTGTCCAGTTGTTGCTAAGCTTTCCTAGTGGCCGCGGTGAAACGGCGTAATTGCCTGCTGGAATTGATCAGACTGCAGTCTGTAGAGTTTCATTTCCCCTTGTAACATAAGATCATGAACGCTGCTCAACAGCGTTCTGACATTTTCGCTTTCAATCTTCCTAGCCGCAGAGAACAATGCATAGTCGGGTAGATTCAAGGCTCAGGAATATTGACTGGGAAGCTTGATGTATCACGATTGCCAATTTTAGCTGGACAGGTTGATTGACAACCTGACAGCTCGTAATCTGAGCGATGTAGTTCAGTTTGTGTGTTCATTGGAAGCGCAGCCGAGTCAACTTAATAATCTAAACATTTCTGCGTTTTATTACGCCAAAGAGATAACGTTGAAAAGCAACGTGGGGACGTTGGCTTTAAATGTCGTTGCCAAGCAGAAGCCGAGTGGAATGCGGTTCTTGATCGTCTGCAAAGATTTTTCTCATATGTGGTGACGCTTGCGACCCCTTCAGCTTCTCTTCCCCCTCAGTACTAATTAAAGCTGTTTTTCTGCAGCGGATCTTGAGCTGATGAAGACAGCCACTAAGAGCTCTTGAAGTAAAGTCACACAGGACCTGTATGGCAGATGTTTTTTTTTTTTTTTTGCAAGAGTATGTGCAGAGAGAAAGAAGCAAAGCAGGAAATAAATAAGCGTAAAAATGGCAGCCTGTCTCGAGCGAGGAGCTCTTATTTCCCCCCAATTTAAGACTTTCCATTTCAAACTTTTCCTCAAAAAGGTTCTGTGGAGAATTTTTTTTTTTCACGCTATCTTCCGATGAACTATTAAGACAAGTATTTCTCAGCTAAAAGAAAAAAAAGAAAGTGCCGGAACAGCTTGATCTGGCGGCTTTGACCGCTTCTCCCAGCTGAATGGGAAGAAGCCTTTTGGCTACAAAGGCTGAGCGTGCAGAGGGTCGAGGCCCAGAGGACAGTGCCTAATGGCTACGGGTCCGGCTTCCCCTTGTGGATTACATGTTTCAAAAAGTTAAGACTTGATCAGTGTTTTTTCCAGAGAAAGGGACACTTTTTTTTTATGTGATGCATATGGGAGCAGACAGAAAACTTGCTGGAACCAAAAGAAGGCTTTGTGCTGAGGTCCACAGCAGATCACACACTATGCAAGCTCTGGCCTCAGCTCGCCACACCGCTGTGATCCGCACCTCCCAAAGCCAAACGTCATATCTGTCTCTGCAGAGTTGGCTGCTTACACCTCCGTTCTGCGCGTATCGCTCCAGCCACAGTGCGTACTTGACCAATTAGTTTGTGCTCAGACATTTTAACACCCGGACTGGGACTAATGAAGCCACATTTCCTGGGTTTAATTATACCAAGATTATGTGGTATTATGAGGAACAGGAAATGGCGGCGCACACTTTTAGCATCCCCCCCCCCGTTCCATCATCGCTTCCTACTGGGGGAGATTTCTCCCCCCCCCCCCCCCCCTACCTCTGCCTTCACTCCTTCCCTTGACTGCGCAGATCTTTCCCCTCTCCTCCTTTCGGCGCTCACAGGCGCGTCCTGGCGTTCTCACCGCAACAACGCCGGACGGCACAAACGCATTAAGGAGCTGTGAGACAAAGCTGGTCTGGGTAAATCCCTACACAAATTAGACCATTATTAAAGGCAATTGGCACTGCCTGCTACCAATTTACAATGTCTCTTTAACAGAAAGGCGAGCAGCTTTTATTACACCCCTCCTCCTTCCCTCCCTCCTCCTTCCCTCCTTAGCAAAGCTGTGCAGCTTTGGAACAGTGTCATCCTTCAAGATCTGGGTTGGAATTATATTGTAGTACAGAGCTGATGTTCGCATGAGGCTTGGCCCACAAAGACGCCTGCTCGTGATTGGCACCCGGGTTTGCACAAAGAGCATCAATTTTCTTCTTCTTTTAAAATGAAGGGGGGGAAAAAAAAGCTTTTTTTAACACACATTCCACCTCAGATGCTCGGCTCCTCGGAGGCGTACGAAATACCCACGTTTGCGTTCATGTGAAGTATGCTTAGGCGCTTTCTTTGGCTTTTAAACTGGTGCGTTTGGTTCTTTTCTCTGTCAAATGGGTTTTTCAGCGGGAAACAATTTGCTTGTCAATCATAGCTACTGTACCTCTGTGTGTCTCTTACACGCACACATACTACTTTGCAGATTGATGCAATGAATTCTGCGCGTGTGCAAATGAGCGAGCATTCCGCATTTGTGTGTGTGTGTGTGTGTGTGTGTGTGT